AATAATTTTTAATACATTATTCAAATAATAAAATTTGCTTAGCTTATTTATGTAAAAGCGTTGCTACGCCGAACATTTTATTTACGATTTAATGTGTCACACTTATCCTATCATTGACACACTGGATCAGCTCTATAGCAATACCTGGGAGTTTGTAAATCAGCATATGCAAAGTGGTATAGCAATAAATCTAGCAGCTCTTGCTCGTTCTCGCATCATGTTACATCTTAATTTCAGAGCCGGCTCAACGCAGCCTGCCCGCCAGAGATACGGCCCTTTATCAAATACGCATTAACTTAAAAATTTACTTACACTGAAGCAAAAGTAATCATTTTTATATTACATGAACAGTAAATTACATGACGAGTTTGTTGGTGGCATTGATAAGGGAAAATTAATTAATGACTAAGGGGTAAGGGACAAAGGGAAACTATTCATTGCTTGTATGGAATTTGGTTATTTTATTAAAACACCATGATAAACAGTTGAACCGTAACAATCGGAACAGATTTAACATTTTAAATATTTACCTTATCTTATCGGTAATGTCATATTTGTATGCGTTTATTGCTTAAATTTTGAGTTATTTGCAACAATCAAAAGCATAAAACATTATTTTATAATTTTATTTTAATTGGCATTTAAATTAATTTCGCTTTTCCTTTTGTTTCAGGTGGTCGTCGTGTTAAATGCTGTTAACGTATCGGTAGGTGATAGGAAAATGTTTGAATCAGCGCGCTCTTCAACAGCTTAAAAGACCTTATACGTTTTAGGAGCGATAAGCGATAGATGGATCGTCCGTCGTATTACCGATCGATTCACTCGGCGCTGCCACGTCGCGGAATCAAGATATTAATGTTGACTGTCGAATAAATTTTTACGCCCACACTAACGCTTAGGCGATCGACTACCGTTGATTTATCGTCAAAATTTCCCGTTAGCAACGCTCGCTGAGCACACTCCGAACATCACTATTTCACAAATAAAAGAACCCGTCGCGATATCATCGTCGACCATAAATTATATAACGCTCGCATGAAAAATACGCGTCTCCGTGCTTGGTTATTTATTACTCGAAATATATGCATAAGTTATGTTAAGCCCGAAGAACATTTAGGTGTATTAATTAGAAGCGTAGAGAATGTAACGAGTTAAGAACGTTTGATTATCGAAGTGGAGTAAAAGTATTCTAGCAGCATTGCAAAAGTGTCCGGTATCGTCGCAGTGGATCTGCTATCGGCGCTATCGCTCCGGTGGCTGTGCCACACTAGGAATAGGTCGAGTTCCCGCGTTGTTCCGAGCCGTGATATATTGTTCCGCATCTCCCTGTATAAATCTTGAACGCCTGCTGAGGTACACGGGACACGGCCGCCGCGCCGCAGCTTCGAGCTTCAAATGGAATTGTGTTTTTATTTATCGTGCGAATCGTAACCCACTATCGCTCACTCGAAATCGCACTTTATCTGCCGAAATGCGGACTTGGATCAATGTTCACTTTAACCCATAACTGGTTGTGTACTCTACGCGCCGTCTCTATGCTCTTATCGATGTATCACTGTTTTGGTATTCAACGCTTTTGAACTTTTAGTTAACTGAATTACGAATTGTTAACTCTCCGTTACAAAATGACGAAACATATTTAAATATTTTGTTAAAAATCACAATAGATTTATCAAAACTTTGAATAAAACGTTTAAACTAATATAAATAAATAAATCAACGCGTTCAGTGTGGGCTAAGATACCGTATTTGTAAAAGAAAATCATGTTTTTATCTGATCATGCTGTGGAAATTTCCTGTAGGAGTATTGAATTCTTTTTGTAAAGTATTTTCGGGTTGTAAAACGGTATGAGATTATGTCGCGTGTGGAGAAGAGATTGCTTATTGTAAATATTAAGTACGAATTCGTTATCGAAATCTGATGTACAACGTCTGTATACGGTCATTAAACATAATAATAGTGATATCTGTGCTGCAGATTTTATGTATAAATATTATTTTCTATTGACATGACGCTCCAGTTGTATAGCTATATAAATATTAGATGTAAAAAAAGAATTAGATCTTAATGTTAAATTTATTTGACCTTATCTCAAATACTTTAAATCACCTTAACATATTTGAATATATAAGTAAGTTATCAAGGTTTATCGAAGTTCAAAATTGATTTATAAGTCAGAATGTTTTAAATCAATAAGAAGTTATATTAACTTCGAGTTCCTTTTAATTAGAGGATCGTAAATCTCGATAGCTTAATGCGTCATGTCATAAATCCTAAATACGTAACTACAAAGGCTTTAGTACGAAAAATATTCCATTTATTAGTCGATAGCTTAACTTATACTTAGTAAAATAGTTTACCTATAGTCACTTTGAGAAAATGACAACAATCAATACTAGTTGTGCCCAGTATACGAATAGCTAATTAAATTAAGTAATATTATAATTTATTTTATAAGATACAGTAGTGGTAATATTTTTGGATTCCTATAAACATATACGTAATTTGTCTTCTTTATAACTTAGGATTTGTCGAGCGGAATTTGGTCGAGATTCTTTCTGATGTAAATTTTTAATTCCAACAAGCTTTGAAAGTGCCAAATTAATTGATTTTGTCAAAATTACTAATTTAATATTAACGTACACTTTTAAATATTGTGAATACCTGTTAAAAACGAAAGAATCTACACCGAATACTTTCTTGATCTATTTTTTTTTGTTAAATATTGTAAATATTGAATTACTTATTTATAAAAATATCCTTATATCTGTTATAATTTTACTTATGTGAATCAAAATTTGTACACTTGTTTTGAAAACACGATTATCGGCATTCGAATATTTTTTTATTGTTTAACAATCGATATGAATATTTTATTTATTTAATTTGGTACATGCTCAGGAATGTTATACGTAAATTTTGTCCTTAATGAAGCATTTGTCATACGTAAATATTAGGTAGGCCCAAATTATTGTAATGTAATATAATTAATATTAAATAGTATAGATGAAGAGAAATACTTAAAACCTCGAGGGATTCTAGTATAAAAATGGTTTAAAAGTTTTTTGTGTTTTATGATTGTATTTGTGTGGAGCGTTGTGTAATATTATATACATATATATTGATATCTATTAAATTGGAATGGATATTATAATTTTTTTGTACAATATCGGCGCCAGTGCGACACGAAACATGCATTAAATAAAAATTCTGTTACTGTGATATTGTTTTTTTTTATTTACCACAAAATTCCCAAATAAATAATACACCACAAGCATTTTATTACCTTGTTGTCACATTTCGTGATATGTTAATAGAATAAAATAACATTTAGTAACGGCGAAATCAGGACGACCAAATTTTTTCTCAAACCATGATCATAGCAAAACTTAAAGTCGTCAATTGTTTATGATTACTTAAATTTGCAACACAAGATAATATTACGTGATTTGGAATTCCATTTCTTCTTTAGGTATAATTTTTAAAATGAAGTGTTGTTTCCTTTGAATTTATGACAAACCCTTGAGGAGTTGGCTGAAATTTTATGCGGAATATTAAAGCAAACATAGTGGAGAATAATGCTTTGGAAGATACCTATATTGAGGAGTAGCCTGGCTGTCGTGCCAAACAGGAAGTATGCTCGCGAGCCGCCCGGGATGTGGGGTTCGATTCTACTCAGGGATTTTCAACTTTATCTACGTTTTAAATTTATCCAAAACCATTTTTTGATATAGTTATTTTTATATTAAACACTTCAGTTTTTTTAATTATTTTAATACCATCATGTCATTTTCTACCTATTTCAAATATTTTTAAATTTAAATTATTCCTCAAGCACAAAGTACAATTTCATACACAACCTTAAAATGACCTTGAGACCGCTGTCCACGTCTACAAGGTTTATTTAAGGTTAAAACCTAGTAATGTATGAAAACGTCCTCATTACAGCATTCGGCCTTTACTCAAAGACTTCCTAGGGATTAAAATATTATGAACATAATTTTAATTCACGACAACTTGAAAGAATTTCGATAAAGTCATCAACAAAATTGCACTTGTGGCTTCAATAAGGATGGACTTTGAACAGTCTCTTGGGTAAATGTTCAATAGCGTGTTATCACAAGGTAGTGTATTAGAGAAAAAATGACACTTCTCTATATCGTTATAACAACTTCTAATAATCTGTTAGTAGTTTAGAGAATTTTATACTAAGCTACAATGAATATTACTTCTGGTTTCCTACTAGCTTCAAACATCTATTTCTTATGTTACACCATTTATAGTGGGTACACGTTACGCAACCGTTAGTAACCGCGGGATTTCTTCTATTATTTATGACTCAAGAAACTAAGCTTCATTTTTTATATAACACGTAAATTTAGCGGTCCGTCTGTAGGGCCGTTATAAATCAGGGTGTATTCGGCGGATTAGAGGAAGAGTAATGACTGGAGTCCACCTGGAGGGACAACTATTTGTTACCTATTTGCTCGCACGACGGGGTAACTGCGTCTTACGTGTTTTGGCGCTAGGGTGTATGTCATTTTTAGAAAGTGCTAGTCTTTGTATTTTCTTAAATACTTCTATGATTGACAATTTTAATAGTTTAATTTTTGTTTCTGAAAATTAATATTGAAGAAAAAACAACCTCAAAACACAGCATAACCCGGTCAAAATTTAAGCCGGCTTTAGATAGTCTTTTATGTGGAAATTAAGGCCGCCATGAAAGGCTTATAATTAACGATCTAATTAGAAACGTGAGACTGCTTACTTTATTAGGAGGCTCGGGGTTTCGTGACGCCACGATGTTCCTGATATCGGATTTTGGTCTAGTTTAATTAGCTGTTTTCATGTTACAGTCGTTTGTTTAAGATTTCTGCTCCTTGTGGGAACAAGAGATAAATTTTACGTTGAAATTTTCAAGGCAACGAAATATAGTAGTTCAAAAATTTAAAATTGCAATTTATCTAATTTACTCGTCTAATATGATGTAATCTTTAACTTTGGGATAACAATAATATATAAATGAGTCAGGTTTTAATTTCTGATGGATAAATAAATTACTTACGGATTCACAAAAATATTTGAATTTTAAATAAATATTTAGAATGTAAATAAACTAAATACGGACACTAATAAATTGATGAACTCTGCTGGTTATAGATGGTGTCCATTAAATCAAAGTATGTCATAAATTTTCACATAACGGTAACACAAATGAAATAAAAGGCTGTCTATTAGACAGTTTAAAAGTTCATTCATGTATTATTTGAAACACTTTAATATAGATATAACATTCAACAGAGATATTTATGATCATCATAATATTAATAATTTAATGTCAAACCAAGTTTGTACATTATTATGTTGTCAACATTGATATGGAATATATTAATGTTTAAAAATTTCAAAATTATGTTTATTTTTAGAAGAAATAAAAATATATTAAACTACCCATAACATTTTTTTTAGTATTACTTCCAATTGTTTTATTTGTTTCCTTATAAAATGTTAGCATGGCGTAAACCCAGTAGCGTTTATTCTCGCTTATTCTATTTTATACGATTCACAGGAATGTCGATAACATCAGTAAGTAATTCGCATTCAGTCTCCATTACGTTTTAACTTTCGGCTTTTCGACTTGCAACGTGTTTGATGAAGGTTATCGGATTGTAATCGACACTCGTCTTGGATTGAAAATATAAATTCTTTATGTAAATATCAAGAATGTTGATACATTTTATATTCCTTTCTAACCTTTTAAATGACTTTCAAATAAATAAAAACAGAGTACTTAGCATATTTTATTGGTATCTACTGTATAGAACTAGCTGTTGCTTGCGACTTCGTCCACATGAATATAGCCTATGTTATCCACAGATAAATTATAGTATCTTTATAATGGTGATAGAATTTTTTAAATCGGCTCAGTAATTTTTGAGTTATTTCAATACTTACAAAAATCCAAATCTTTCTTCTTTAAGACATTAAAGTAGTAAGTAATATTTGTTTTAAGTATAGATAATTAATCTTTAAACAATATTGTGAAATAAATGTATGTACAGTTAATGTACGAAAGAACCATAAATCCCTGTCTGTATCAAGTACATGCTCTGTGGAATCGTGCGCAAACGCAACAGATAAGATATACGTCGCGCGTGCGCAGTGTCCCGCGGGGTACACTAATTAACCCTTCAGATTCACAACACATGCGAAATGTTATTTATTAACGTGACGCCATTTGTAACGTATCTATCGCACTCGATAATTGTTAGATGCTCGATTGTTTTGTTGATTGTGAAATATGAAACTGTGGATGTTGTTTCTTAAAACTCTACTTGATTTTTTGCAGTAATTGAAGAATCGCAAACGTAATACGCCTGTTTTTGATAAGAACAAATGACTACCTTCTTAAAATACAGAATAGTTACGACCTATTGACCATTTGGACACAGATGATAGTTGTGGATTCCTACTTTCTTAGTATTAATAAATGATTCCTTAATCGAAAACTGTAACACATGTAACCCGAAACACTTGGATATATTACCTAAAAATTTGAGCAATTAAGAATACTTAAGAAACTCCAGCCGTCTTCCGTTTTAAGTCTATTATTAATTTTCAAAGAAATCCCTTTCGGCTAGAATGCTCAGGTAAAGAAAACAACATAATTGTATTACCTTTATGGTTTAAAAATCTTACAAAAGATTAAAAAAACATTGTTTATAATAACAATAACCGCACCGCAGTCATATCGAGTAGACAAAGCTGAGTGACCAAGTGTCATAAATGCATGATTTATGCAATTACCTCTTAAGGGTGGTAATAAATTACCGTTCACTACACTACACCAATTACAAATTTATATTTTACACCTCCATAAAGAGATTGCAAACAATTTTGAGTCTTATAAAAGTTTCAATAGAGATTACATTAATTTGTGCAGCTGCAAATGTCTTGCTAATTTTAATGTGCAACGTGGGTCTTGATTATTCACAGATATTGAATCAAGTAATACCACCCGCTAACTTGAGGTGAGACTAAAAATTTTTATGTTTCTTTAAAGTCAACATAATAAATGTTTTATGGATAAATTTCATTACTTGACAACGGGTGAAGTTAAAATGGTGTGTAAAATAAAACTGTTTACTTGGACGTTGGACATTTAAGTTCAAAGTGAATAGTAATTGCTTCAGGTACTCTCTCTCTCTCTTCTATTCCTATGTCCCCAGAGTGGGGCAGAGGGTGTCCACAGTACGCCGACAGTTCGCTCTGTCTTGGGTTCTGCGTTGTATCTCGGACCATGACAGCCCAATTGCCTTCAGGTACTAGTATTTACTCAAAGTTTTTAAGGCTTTGATAGCGTACATTAGTAATATCACTTTAAAAAGATAAAGCATTAACTTATTAAAAGTTTCGTAAGACATTATACTATATGACTTATAAACTGTCGATGCTTACACCGAAGGTTGTCACGTGAGTTTAGCCGTGTTTAAAGTTACACAAGATAAAACATTTAGGTTCAAGTTAAAACTAACCAAGGTAAAATTAGAATCTTCATTATAGATTGATTTTATTGTTCGATTTATTTGGCTCATGTCTAATACGCAATTAATTGCCATCGAAAAAGGTCTGTTAAAAAGTCACAACTCTAGTCCCTATACATCAGTGACAAATGGTCTAAATTCTATACAGCGCACGAGTAACACACAAGGGACCGTTGTGAATTATAAACCTAGTACATCCGTTGTTAGAAATATTTGCTACGAGTTTGCTATTAGATTTTAAATGCGCCTCCTCGTCTACAGACAATGCTATGGTGACGTCATCACAGGCGCCAGAATCAAACCCGGAGTATTAATTAGCAGTCGCATCGTACGCGAGTCGTACGTGATCGATCAAGCATCAATGGTAATCAGTTAGATCGATCAGGCGCGCCGCCTACCGCAGACTAGTTCGCTTAGAGATATCAATCTACACTATAAATAGCTTTTATCTCTCCTCGATTAAGGAACCGATTAGAATTAATCTAGTCAAGAATATAGATTAAATTAGTGTTTTGTTTAGTAAAGTAAAGATTTTAAAACCAGTACTTAAGGTTCTACACGAACCGAACCTATTCAAAGGCCGGCAATGCAGCTACAGTTTCTCTAGTGTGGACGATGTCGATGTTCCTCATCTTGATTTTCCCACCGATCGTTTGCCCCATTCTCTTGAAAATACAT